AAAAAAAAAAAAAAAAAAAAAAAAAAAAAAAAAAAAAACAAACCAAACTGATGTCATCTACAGCTGTGCATTTTAATCCAACACAGTTTTTCCAAAAAACCTTCCAGCAGAATCTGAACTGCATTTTAAAACTTGCTAAAGATTAAAACATGCAGAATAAGACCGAATTGCAAACCAAAATCAAATCAGTCAATGCTGGTTTCAATCAACCTTGTCCACTCTTCCCTGAAAGAAGGCCATTTTTACACAAACCACTTTAGAGTGCCTCTGAGCTCATTGCATTTTAAGCATCCAGAAGCACTGTGAATTATACATGGGAATGGTCACTTCAGACAGTACTGGGACGTGCATGCCATGATGGCAGCAGCACTGGTGGGACCCATTATGGCATCAAGCTGCAGGTCTTCTTTTGGACCAGACTGGCATGCGGACCGAATGGGCAGTCGAGAGGCCAGGGAGGAGTTACTGCAGCCCAAAAACAGATCAAAGTGGAAAAGCAGAGAATCCTTTAACGACAATGGATGAGAGTGTGAAAGGGAGCGAGAGACTGAAAACAACAAATCCCGAAAGGCCATTATGACTGATACTCGTGTGTGACAGTTAGCACTCAATGGTGCACTTGCTCTGCATGTCTCTCTCAGAGAGATGCTTTTAACACCAGTGATGTTCTCCCCTTGAGAGAAATTGCGTCTCACACCCAGGAAGAAAGTAACAAGCCAGGGAAGCCTCCAAATGCAGCGGGACGGGGTAACTGCATTCTGATGAAATTCATCCCTTGGTCCCAGACCCAGTTAGTACGACACACACAGTGCCAAAACCCCAACATCTACAGCAAGAGGGTCCTCATGCAAATTTCGGTATCCCTGGCAACACTAGTGCAGAAATTCCATTCCTCCCTATATGCATCCTTTCCTTCCTTGCTCTGGAAGTTATTATTTATGGAAGTTTAATTTCTAGGCTGCAGACGGTTAAAGTTCTTATAGTGACGATGGAGACAGAATTACACCCAGTCAGTCGTCATTTAAATCCAGGTCAATGGTGCTAAAGGGAAAAACCAATTACAACTATAAGCACTGCCAACTGAAAAAACTGGAATGTTTGCTCAAAAAGGGCCTAACTCACAGGACATGACACTTCCCTCACATCACAAAGGCAACAGAAGTAACCTAAAGTACAATGACTTCCATATCAGTCACTAAGTTAGTGGTAAAACATTTTTAAAAAGCAACTTCCCTCTCAAAAAAAAAGTGCTCTGAAGAATCCAAACATATTTAAACATTTACACATCTGTCCAAGCCAAGTTAGTCCATTCAGCACCATGTCAAATGAACAGCCACATAATATACAAGTATGGCCAATCATGTTCAATGTTTATTTGCACAACCACTATGGCAGCAGCACTTTGCGTAGTTAAGATGCACGACTGAACATAAGAACAGACAAACAAAAAACAGAAGAATCAAAGTAATTATACAAAGAAAGACAGAGGCAGCAGACTGAAGGGTCATTGTTCAGGCCACAGTGTCCAGCCGGCACCGTGGAGGGTTCTAACCCCAATCTGTCCTGTTAGTGGCATTATGGGGCTGTCATGCAGATAATGCTGCATCACCTCAGACCGAGGGCGACACACATGTGAGATGATAAATCACAGACAGAGAGGTAGACATGTGCTGCATGCTGGCTGCATAAGAACGCACCACACTACAAACACGGGTGACCAGCCTGAGGCAGATTAGTTCCACAGATGAAGAGTTCTGCCAATTATATATGATTAATTTGAAAAGTAGGAGAGGAAAAAAGAAAAAAAAGAAACGGTTCCCAGAACTGGGAGTCAGTAGTTTCAGAGGTAGGGAGTGGCTGGTTAAGGGTCATTACTCTTTGTAAAGAAACACCACAAAGAAAAAAAAAAAAACAATAAAAGGCACAAATGACAGCATCAAATAGGACACGCAGAGAGGGAAACGTCAGAACAACAAGCTTACACTGACCCATTCAAATATACATTGAGATACTAGAGAAGGTCCTGAGTCAGTCTTCCTGCCATGACGTCACTGTTCACGTGCGCCAAGACCGGGCTGTTCTAGGCCACCGGCTTCTGGGCAACAGGCCCAATCAATTTCCCCGTCACTCACTGATCAATGCAAAGACAAACCATGTACGTAAGCCACCACACCGGGTCGCATGTGTGGCTGCACTAAAATGCAAAAGTGCAGCAATACAGTTTCCTTCAAGCGAAGGAGCCGTATTAAAACACTGCTACTTAAGCGATGTTGGCCAAAAGTGTCTAGGGGAATTAATTCTTAATTTTTTGTCTAATACCCAATATCGACGCGTTTTTCGCTCTACATGCAGATGTTAAATGAGTCTCGGTTTGGACCGAATTCATCGTGTTGTAATATGGTAGCATCCCACTTTTCACAGCTGAGTCTAAGTGTCAATTAGGCAATTAGATGCCCTTCAAACGCCATCAAGCCTATATAGTGCACTTGGATTGGCAAAAAAACGACAAACACAAATTAAAAATAACTCCGGTAAATACCTCAACAGTTTACATGTGCAGCTGTAAAACCGTAAAGGACGCTTCACTCACCGCCACCTTCGGAAAAGCTCACGAGGCACCGGGGTGACCGCGAGGACCCGGCTCGAACCGGGCAGCGAGACCAGAAAGCTCCTAAGTACAGATTGGGAGCCGCGCGAGGGAAAGCAGGAGGAATGAGCGTGAGAAAAGTTCGATAAAACTGAAGAGATGCGCTTACGCCGGCCGGTCGAAAATTTCTAGTCGACTTTAACGGTAGTATATTCAGTAAACAGGCTTTACTTCATTAATATATCTAACTACTTAATTTCTACCGTCACAGTTACTCAGTCCGCTACCTAGTACACAAATTACCGGCGACAGCCAATCTTGCATTATCCGAGAACCCACGGTGTTGTGTATAACGAAAAAAAAATCATGCCATATCCCCCCCCTCAACCTTTTTCATAGTTTTCCCCCATTTTAGCATATGCGTAAACCACGTCCTGCTTTTTCCGTTATTTTTAAACCAGCTCCTAGCTCCCTCAAGGAGCCCAAGCGCAACTGTGACACAGGCGGCCTAATACTATCCCGAGAATGAGAGAAGCGTCAAATATGACCGTGAATAAGGACGCTTCGAGACGGACCGCAGCTCTCCCAGGACGCTCAGCCCGAGGGAAAAAGCCGATGCGCCCCGAACGCCATGTCAGCGCTCCCCACGTCAGCACTCGTTCTCCTCATTACCTGCCAACAAAGTTTTCCAAGACTGAGCTTTTTCCGGCACTCTGCCCGCCGACCACCGCGATCTGTGGCAGATCCAAGTTACAGCTCTGCCCGATGGAGCTGAAGGCGTCCTGGAGCTTGTTGATGAGCGGGATCAGATCTTCCATACCCTGGTTCCCCATGGCTTCGCACGCCTCAGCTGGATTCCTGCCTCACAGTCGGTAGGGCTGCAGAAATACTCTGCCTCTCCGTTTTTGTCTCAAGCGTACCCTCCGACGAGGTGGGGATGGCGTCGAGGGATGTTTGCAAAGTTATCAAAAGATGCCAATATATAATTTGCACACTCCAGGGCATTAAAAAAATATATAAAACAAAACTCCAGTCAGTACCCAAAACTTCAACCATCCGGTCAGGCGACACCCGACCTCCGCTTGGATACTGCGACCACGCCTTATGTCAAACGACCGTTACTTGATTGGCCAATATAGCTGAATGTCTGGCCGATCAGCTCTGTTATTGGCGAAGTGAGGGAGGTCGTTATATTTAGCCCAGGACCGCGGAACTCCATAGAGTCTCACGATTGGCCATTTCTCCTGTCACTCGCGTCCTCGGGTGTATATTTTACTTGGGGTGGTTTTGGCTTTTTATCCACCTAGTTTTCTGTAATAAATGAACTTCGTTCAGGTTTAGTCAAACTTCCAATCTGACATAATTATAGATTACTGGTGCTGTGTTTATTGTACACTTTGGTATTTATTATCAGCGATAACCTTTCACTATCCTTTCTGGATGTTTACTAGAAATCTAAGAAGTTATCCATACATTATTCATGTTCACCGAAGTCTCAATATTTAAAAGATAGTACGTTACCCCTGACCTTTCCATGCTCTTTAATTCTAACATGTTCACTTATCTGTATCTTAAATATCAGCGAAGATCCTGTATTGATCTGACGGCAGATATTTTCCTTTGCGATTCAGTGAAACATTTTGCCTTGTGTTTTCTATTTTCTGTGTCCACATGGTGGCAATAAATGACACGTACAATCAGTGGACCTGCAGGTGTTGGGAACCTCGGTTAATATTCAGTAGCGCTCTAATGAAGAACTTGCGCAGTGCATGATGTGCCCTATATATATATTATGTATGTATATATTATGTATGTATATATATGTATGTATGTATGTATGTATGAGTCTACTGGAAAGC